TCAGTCCCAAGAGAGAACAACCACGTAAACAAAGAGCACAAAACAAAAGCCTCCCCCCCCCCCAAGATTTGAAAGTATCTTGTCCCCTTATTGGTCCTTTGGGTCAGGTGCCAGCCAGGTTAGCTGAACTTCTTAACCCTTTACAGGTGGTAAGATATTGCCTCTGGCCAGGAGGGATTTTATAGCAGTGTATACAGAAAGGTGGTTTCCCTTCCCGTTATATTTATGACAACATATCAGGTTAATTATTTTCCTTTTATTCTGGGCCTAACGGGAGGAAATTGATCTGGAGGAATCATTGCTCCAGGCCTAGAACAAATAACTCACAATATGGTCCATTATCTCATGATACCCAATTACAATGTGCATTATTGCTTAAAAGAAGGCATCTATGGAATGTGTGCATGTATCAGGGAATCTCTTCAACAGGAGAATCCATCTGTGATGAGACAGATTCTGAGTAGGTTTTGATAATAGTTTATACAGCCTCTGCTCACTCCTTGAGTTTCAGTTTGTTCAGGGCAGACTGAAAATAATACAACCCCTCTTATGTAAAGGATTCTTTATCCCAAATCTTATAACACTTGACAACTTCCTACCAGTTACACTGAAAAAGGCTCACATTTAATTAAGTTCTCTCTGTATCTATAAAGTGAACTTTTCTCATTAAGACAGGTTTCAGAGTAACAGCCGTGTTAGTCTGTATTCGCAAAAAGAAAAGGAGTACTTGTGGCACCTTAGAGACTAACCAATTTATTTGAGCATGAGCTTTCGTGAGCTACAGCTCACTTCATCGGATGCATACCGTGGAAACTGCAGCAGACTTTATATATACACAGAGAATATGAAACAATACCTCCTCCCACCCCACTGTCCTGCTGGTAATAGCTTATCTAAAGTGATCATCAGGTGGGCCATTTCCAGCACAAATCCAGGTTTTCTCACCCTCCACACCCCCACACAAATTCACTCTCCTGCTGGTGATAGCCCATCCAAAGTGACAACTCTTTACACAATGTGCATGATAATCAAGTCGGGCTATTTCCTGCATAGATCCAGGTTTTCTCACATCCCCCCCACCCCCATACACACACAAACTCACTCTCCTGCTGGTAATAGCTCATCCAAACTGACCACTCTCCAAGTTTAAATCCAAGTTAAACCAGAACATCTGGGGGGGGGGGGGTAGGAAAAACCAGATGTTCTGGTTTAACTTGGATAAGCCCTTTAATAAGAAATAAACTCAGTTCTTATTCCTTCCACATTTATGCCATGTTAAACGTGTCTCAGGGAATCTTGGTTCATCCATTCCTTATCTTTCTGACAGACTTTTCCTCTTGGTCTTGTATTTGGGAGAATATGCCCTTTCTAGGTCTTTTTAGGATTAATGAACACCAGGGGTGAAATTGTGGCTCCACTGAAGTCCATGGCAAAATTCCCATTGAGTTCAAAGTAGCGAGGATTTCACCGTACAACATTATTGTTCCCCCTCCCACCACTCTCCAAGAAGGTCTATCTTTGAGTCCCTTATCTCAAAACACAATCCCACTGTGACACCTCCCTGGCCTTCAGCAACAAGCAAACAACTCTCAGATGAATCCTTCTCTCCAGCTGACTTCTCCTCTTCAGTTTAAATTTTAGGAAATGCATCCTTGTGGCATACCTAGACAACTCAACATCATGTTTTCTTGTCGGGCATGCCCTCATTAGAGAGTTAACCCAAGTTATTGACACTTGGGTTACTTCTTTCAATTTAGCCTAACTTGAATGATAGTGGCCATGCTGCACTTTTCACTCAAGCTGCTATGTACACAGTGGTGCTGCACTCAAGCATGTGTGGCACTAGGGCTTCTGGGGGCATATCCCATGGTACTTTGCACTTCAGTAAGCTGAGCTGCTTGATGCATTCTTCCCCTGTGAATTGCAGGAGAACTTGTCTTTCCTTTCTGTGCACATGGGGGGGGGGGGGGGGGATTATGAGAAGGCATTGGAGGACTTGAGTAGAGTTAGCCTACATATATTCCAAAAAGTGGACATGTTAGCAGCTGATGAATTATCCTAACTTGAAATTCAGTCTATACCCCCTGATGTGCCAAACAACTTAAATTAAAAACACCACCACACTTGAGTTAAGGGATTTTGTGTGGGGTTGAGACATGAATTAAGGGCAACACTCAAGTAAAAACCTGAGTTAACTTTGCAGTGAAGACAAGTTAGAATATCTCAGATTGGAAGACCTGTTCGGGAACCTTGGTTCATCCATCCCTAATCTTTCTCAGAGACTTTTCCTCCTAGTCTTGTATTTTGTCTCCTCACTGAAAGAAAGGAAGAAGTCTGAATAAATAGGATGCTTCTAAAGTACCTTTGAATACAGAGTACTGAGGATAACTTACTACATTGCCCTACATAGTCTCATTCTCACTCCCTGGCCGTGTGCAAATCTCTTATGTGTTTGTCATTTGTCTCTTGAGTGACATTTAGTGGAAGAACAATGGATAAATTCTCAAAAGTCCCTGTAGTGATTATTTTTCTAGAGCTCCTTTCTGTGGTTTAGCTAATAATTACTATTGGGTACATTTTAGGTTATAGTACTGTGTGTGTATGGAGCAGGTTTGCTTGGGACACAGTGAACAAATTGAGTATGTTATTGAACAAATATATGATAGCTACGTGTTCACCTAGACAAGCCAGGGTGCATTTCAAGAGAGTTTGGTAGCCTGGGGTGAGTCAGATAACTGAGAGAGCTGCCTTTTTCTTACACTTTGGCAACACTTGTCATGGCAGTAAAGTCTCATTGAGTTGAACTGAATTGAAAAAATTGGAGGGGAATCTGACCCAATGCTTGTGTTGGATGGGCGGTGGGAGGGAGAACAGTAAAAGGTGAAAGAGTTTAGAGGTTTGGGGCCCCTAATTTTTGCATACTTGTGACCTTGACTCAGTGGGATTTCCTTAATAAGAGAGGTTACTGTTGAGCAATAGAAAGCATTCCTTCCAATATCTACCACTCTAGGGACTGTCTGCCAGTAATATTCTAGACAGTCCACAATGCAAGAGAGTCAGATATTTCACAAGGCTTTAACTAGGCTGGCCAATATTCACATAAAGCTTTAACACACAATAACAATGAAACAGTATCACAGAGATGTGCTGCACAAAACAACAGCTTCTTGTCTTTCTGTTAATTGTTGCTGCCGTGACAACCTTTTTATAGCTCTTAATGTCTTTAAGGTTACTACTAAATTTTCACTTCATTGGAACACATTTACAAACTATTTTGCAAAGTACAGAGGCTTCAACAAATGACTCATCAATAATTACTGTAGTAGAAATTCAAACGTCTTGATATTTTAATACCTGTTTTACTTTTCTTAGTTGGTATGACTGATGTACCAATGCACTAGAAAATATTGGCTCTAACCAATACTTCCCAGAATATAATGTTGTTAGACAAGCTGTCTCTCTGCCTTATTTCAGTGGTCAGGGATTAAAAAGTTAACATCATTCAGAGGGTTGAAGTGAGACAACTCTAACTAGATGCTTCAAATCTCCTTGAGCCTTGTCAGGCTGTACACAGATCAGGGTCAGATAAAAGGGTAGGAAGACTGTACTTGTTGCCTTAGTTGATGATTTCTTCCTGACAATGGATGAATATCAGGTATCCATTATGATATTATCAGATCAATTTGCTGCCTTCTGTACTGTTGATCATGAGGTATCTGATTCACCTGTGAACTCTTGGAGGAGTGGAAGGAGATGTCCACAGGTGATTTATCTCTTTCTCTCTGAGGGTAGTTTTGTGAATCATTTTTCCCAAAGGAGTTTTTATTTAGTATTCCACAGGGCTCCATCTTGTCATTCCTCCTGCTCAATAATATGTATGGGAGATGCTGTTAGTATTTTCGTAGCTGTGGAGGCATTCATAGCTGGCTAAGTGTCACAGCTTGTGTCTATATGTTTATGCACTCTTTAATTTGGCACATTTTCACATGCTTCACCGCCTTCCAGAGATTATTCTGTCTGATATTAACAATAAACAGTAAAACATGTTTCTGCTTTCAGTGGCACTGGCAGTAGTAGGTCAAAATCTCAGGTGGTACAGTGTTATTTGAATTAGCTGCACATGTGCTCATCAATTTGGAGCCTTTGAAAATACTTCAGTCCTTTACTGTGGTTATCAAACTATTCAGTGAAATACAGATACCTCACTAAAGTTCTGCTGTTTTGCAGAACCCTAATGAAATGTGCACTACATGAGGCCTTCATATTGAAGAGAGATTTTGAATAAATTAGCATCTGTGAGTAACACACAAAATCAGAGGAAGGTAGATTTCTTTTACTCTGATTTTACTTTCTCATTATTTTCTGAGTAGGGTAGTACCGTAAGTTTCTCTGGTGGTAGATCACTAATAGTTTTGGTCCATTCTACGCACCTCTTTTTGTTTCATTGGCTCAACTAATACATGCCTACAGTACAAGCTTATTTTTTGCCTTTTATCTGTACTTCAGGCTTTGAAAGTCATTCACAGTTGTCAAATTTGCTTTTGCACTTCTGTGCAATGTAAAGGTTATGAATGATCCATTAACCTAAGATGGCTGCTGCTGTGTAAATAGTATCATGCAAATTTTCCTTCTTCATTCTGTGCAGTTATTGTGCAACTTTTGTTTTTTCTTCACACTCAACAGCTCCAATAAACATTGCCTCATTTATGTTTGCCTCAGCTACAATGTGAACATCTATTCCTTGAGTTTTCACTTAACTAGAGTATGTTACAGAACAAATGTTTTTCCAGTGCAGTTCCCACAAATATCTCCAGATGCAGGGAACTATTTTGATTAATACTTTGAATCACAGTTCTTTCAGTCAAATGATTTGCTGCTTTCTTTAATATACTTTTTTTTTTGGCTTAGTTCTTTGAACTTTATAATATTACTTACAATTATATATGCTCTGGAACCTGCAGTAACTGCTCGTCTTGAGCAAGAGACATTGAAACAGCTGGTCAGCATGAACCATTTTTATGCACTGAACTCCTCAGGCATCAAGAATATCAGCACATACAGGGTTTTTTTTCTGTGTATGGATCTTTATGCATTTACACTCTTATGGATACAAAGACTGTAGTGAATAGAAAGCAAAGGTGATAGTAAAACAACGAGTAGCTATATCCCCAGATTTTATTAATTTTCTAAAAATATAGCCCTTAATTTAAAATAATTCATTCAATTTTACCATATTTCACAATCCTGAGAATTATTTTACTACTATTGCCCTCCAAGCTAATCAATATTTGTAATATTATTTTGTACTGTTTAATGGGTACAATTAAAGGCAAAGGATGAAATCCTGCCCCTGTTGAAGTCCACAGGAATTTTGCCATTGACGTCAATGGAGTCAGGATGTCCCCTAGAAAGTCATATTTGGAGGTTAAATGAGAGGAGGTGTAAATTACATGTCTGCAAGTGGGTGTAAAGGTGTCAAAGGAAGTTTAAGATGGTGCCAGAAAGTGTAAATTAACATCTTATATCCTCTTGTTAATTGCATTTTAGGCTACACCTCCTCTCTTCCGGCCTCTCTCTGGGTAAGTTACATCAATTTAGTTCAGTTAAACTCTTTAGGCCAAATTCAGAAGTAATATATAAAGGGGTATAAGTTACATGCTGGTAAGTGGGAATCAAAGTTGGTATAATTTACACACTAAAGATGTCCAGAAGAGCATGTAGGTCATATAACTTAGAGTCACTTGTGAATTTAGCTTAAGATTTCCTGACTCAGTTCATCTCTTCCCATAGAAAAATCTGAGAGATAATCTCGGCAAGGTTCACTTCATAGAGTTCCTCACCAATCATTCCAATGGGGGGAGAGGGCGCGCATGCGTGTGTTTTTGCCTGCGCCCAAGGGATTTGTTGTGGTGTTCACCCCAAGCCTGGTGGATCTTGAGGCATCTGTAAAAAAACAGAGACATCTATTCAGTGGCCTGGTACCTCTGTACCAATTCTAATTCCTACTGTCCCTGGCTCACGCAGTCCCTAGCATCATGGCTCCTTTGAAGTTCCAAAGTCAGGTCCTCCCCTAAAACCATAGTAGTGTTTAGGCTCCTCTGAGGAGAGGGAGGTTTGTACAGTACATTTACTACAGCTTCATATTGTATTCAGTTTGTTTTGTTTATGCTCTATGGGTCTTGAAAGGAGGGGAGATGATGTGTGTGTCTCCTCAATCATAGCCCCATTCTGTCAACTTCTTCCCCTTGTATGGACTCCAGACCCACAGAGTACCCTTCACAGGGTTTGTAGAAGGGCAAGGTGCTGTGGAAGTGGCCCCCTTTTCAAGCAAGAGGGTTGAGCTCTACATACAGAGGCTCCTCTTTGTGTGTGGATCTTGGGGAAAGATCCAGGTCCAGATTGGTAGATGATTATAACTAGTGATAAAAAAAGATGAGGAAATAGGAAACTAAACTCCATTCGGAATACTATATCCAGTATTTCCCACCCACAGAGAAGGATATTATTGCCTTGGAGACTGATCTCCAGATGTCAAGAATCTAAATTACGAAGGAAGATTAAAGCACTGGGTTCATCCTCCTTAGAAAGGAGAAGATCTTAAGTAGTTAAAACTATGAAATGTCCAGGATTCATAGGGATACATTTTTTTCACAGTGGAAAAAGGGCTATCCTTTTTAGCAAAAAGCTCTGTGTAGTTTTCGGTTTTGTGGAAGATGCTGGATTTCACAGTCCTGAAGCTCAACTATTTCTTATCTGCACAACATGCATAGCATGGAAAGTAATAACTTCCCCACAAAGCTCTACCACAGTGCCCCAGACTTGACCTAGACAAACCAACTCTACATATGAGTAGTTCCATCTTCATGTTCAATGTTAGATCTCTCTTCTGAGACTTCCAACAGGGTGTCAATTATCTTGGTGGTTTTTGTGATCCACTGGCAATTGGACCTGAAACAATCAAACTTTTTATACGGCCACCAGGTGATAGCAATGTTCGGTCACCATTGGCCTTGGCTGTTTGTAAACTGGTTGTCTAGAAATGGGAAGGCTTTATATTTAATTCCAACACCCTGACCACAGACCCTAGAAGTTAGAAAACTGGGAATAAAAGAAACTTGAACAAAAACAGTTAGCACAAAGATTAATAAGCATGTGAAATAAATTACTGGGGATGTAAATTGGGGGGAGGGATAGCTCAGTGGTTTGAGCATTGGCCTGCTAAACCCAGGGTTGTGAGTTCAATCCTTGAGGGGGCCATTTAGGGATCTGGGACAAAAATTGGGGACTGGTCCTGTTTTGAGCAGGGGGTTGGACTAGATGACCTCCTGAGGTCCCTTCCAACCCTGATATTCTATGATTCTATGATAAATGTAAAAGAACTCAAGATACCTTGTTTCACTTCTGAGGGAGGGCATGAATGAATATGATGAGAGGTGGAATTAAGATAAAATGCTGATTCACAATTCACTTTCCTAAATTTGCACAATGTTAAGAGTGTTTTGCATTGGACCTAACTCTGCTGACAAATACTAATTTAAGATGGCAGAATAAGATAACAGGAATCTAGTCAGGATTATAATATTTTAATAACAGGTTTCAGAGGAACAGCCGTGTTAGTCTGTATTCGCAAAAAGAAAAGGAGTACTTGTGGCACCTTAGAGACTAACCAATTTATTTGAGCATGAGCTTTCGTGAGCCACAGCTCACTTCATCAGATGTGTACCGTGGAAACTGCAGCAGACTTTATATACACACAGAGAATATGAAACAATACCTCCTCCCACCCCACTGTCCTGCTGGTAATAGCTTATCTAAAGTGATCAGCAGGTGGGCCATTTCCAGCACAAATCCAGGTTTTCTCACCCTCCACCCCCCCACACAAATTCACTCTCCTGCTGGTGCTAGCCCATCCAAAGTGACAACTCTTTACATAATCAAGTCGGGCTATTTCCTGCATAGATCCAGGTTTTCTCACTTCCCCCCCACCCCCAAACACACACAAACTCACTCTCCTGCTGGTAATAGCTCATCTAAACTGACCACTCTCCAAGTTTAAATCCAAGTTAAACCAGAATATCTGGGGGGGAGGGGGTAGGAAAAAACAAGAGGAAACAGGCTACCTTGCATAATGACTTAGCCACTCCCAGTCTCTATTTAAGCCTAAATTAATAGTATCCAATTTGCAAATGAATTCCAATTCAGCAGTTTCTCGCTGGAGTCTGGATTTGAAGTTTTTTTGTTTTAAGATAGCGACCTTCATGTCTGTGATTGCGTGACCAGAGAGATTGAAGTGTTCTCCGACTGGTTTATGAATGTTATAATTCTTGACATCTGATTTGTGTCCATTTATTCTTTTACGTAGAGACTGTCCAGTTTGACCAATGTACATGGCAGAGGGGCATTGCTGGCACATGATGGCATATATCACATTGGTGGATGTGCAGGTGAATGAGCCTCTGATAGTGTGGCTGATGTTATTAGGCCCTGTGATGGTGTCCCCTGAATAGATATGTGGGCACAATTGGCAACGGGCTTTGTTGCAAGGATAAGTTCCTGGGTTAGTGGTTCTGTTGTGTGGTATGTGGTTGTTGGTGAGTATTTGCTTCAGGTTGCGGGGCTGTCTGTAGGCAAGGACTGGCCTGTCTCCCAAGACTTGTGAGAGTGTTGGGTCATCCTTTAGGATAGGTTGTAGATCCTTAATAATGCGTTGGAGGGGTTTTAGTTGGGGGCTGAAGGTGACCGCTAGTGGCGTTCTGTTATTTTCTTTGTTAGGCCTGTCCTGTAGTAGGTAACTTCTGGGAACTCTTCTGGCTCTATCAATCTGTTTCTTTACTTCTGCAGGTGGGTATTGTAGTTGTAAGAAAGCTTGACAGAGATCTTGTAGGTGTTTGTCTCTGTCTGAGGGGTTGGAGCAAATGCGGTTGTATCGCAGAGCTTGGCTGTAGACGATGGATCGTGTGGTGTGGTCAGGGTGAAAGCTGGAGGCATGCAGGTAGGAATAGCGGTCAGTAGGTTTCCGGTATAGGGTGGTGTTTATGTGGCCATTGTTTATTAGCACTGTAGTGTCCAGGAAGTGGATCTCTTGTGTGGACTGGACCAGGCTGAGGTTGGTGGTGGGATGGAAATTGTTGAAATCATGGTGGAATTCCTCAAGGGCTTCTTTTCCATGGGTCCAGATGATGAAGATGTCATCAATATAGCGCAAGTAGAGTAGGGGCTTTAGGGGACGAGAGCTGAGGAAGCGTTGTTCTAAATCAGCCATAAAAATGTTGGCATACTGTGGGGCCATGCGGGTACCCATAGCAGTGCCGCTGATCTGAAGGTATACATTGTCCCCAAATGTGAAATAGTTATGGGTAAGGACAAAGTCACAAAGTTCAGCCACCAGGTTAGCCGTGACATTATCGGGGATAGTGTTCCTGACGGCCTGTAGTCCATCTTTGTGTGGAATGTTGGTGTAGAGGGCTTCTACATCCATAGTAGCCAGGATGGTGTTATCAGGAAGATCACCGATGGATTGAAGTTTCCTCAGGAAGTCAGTGGTGTCTCGAAGGTAGCTGGGAGTGCTGGTAGCGTAGGGCCTGAGGAGGGAGTCTACATAGCCAGACAATCCTGCTGTCAGGGTGCCAATGCCTGAGATGATGGGGCGCCCAGGATTTCCAGGTTTATGGATCTTGGGTAGTAGATAGAATATCCCAGGTCGGGGTTCCAGGGGTGTGTCTGTGCGGATTTGATCTTGTGCTTTTTCAGGAAGTTTCTTGAGCAAATGCTGTAGTTGCTTTTGGTAACTCTCAGTGGGATCATAGGGTAATGGCTTGTAGAAACTCGTGTTGGAGAGCTGCCTAGCAGCCTCTTGTTCATATTCCGACCTATTCATGATGACAACAGCACCTCCTTTGTCAGCCTGGATCTATGCAGGAAATAGCCCGACTTGATTATGTAAAGAGTTGTCACTTTGGATGGGCTAGCACCAGCAGGAGAGTGAATTTGTGTGGGGGGGTGGAGGGTGAGAAAACCTGGATTTGTGCTGGAAATGGCCCACCTGCTGATCACTTTAGATAAGCTATTACCAGCAGGACAGTGGGGTGGGAGGAGGTATTATTTCATATTCTCTGTGTGTATATAAAGTCTGCTGCAGTTTCCACGGTACACATCTGATGAAGTGAGCTGTGGCTCACGAAAGCTCATGCTCAAATAAATTGGTTAGTCTCTAAGGTGCCACAAGTACTCCTTTTCTTTTTGCGAATATTTTAATAAGAATCTTAACAGAATGAAATCAAAAATCATTTTTACTCTGGACACAGAATTTTTAAAATAATCTTGTCTTTGCTGTCTTGGGGGAATTTAGCTTTTGTTGGGGAAAAAGGCAAAAAGTGTTTCAAGCCCATTGTGAGTAAAAGAAGGGAAAACATGTCATATAACACCTGACAATACCTTCAAAAGATGACCGTGGAAGCTTAAATTTACCCTGTTGCTAGATACTAAGACTACGTCTACACTGGCACTTTCGTTGCTAAAACTTGTGTAACTCAGGGGTGTGAAAAAACACTCCCTTGAACAACAAAAGTTTTAGCGATGAAAAGCGCCAGGGTGGATGGCGCTTCATCAACAGGAGAGAAGCTACCGCCCCTCATTGGGGGTGGTTTTATTTTGTCACCGGGAGAGGACCGTGGTAAAGTGCACAGTGTAGACATAGCCTAAAAATCATGCACTTAATAGAGATACTGGTTTTATGTCTCTTTACAACAATGTGTAACCCACTAATGGTCCTTTGTCCTATGTCTTGCAGAGGTGCCAATGGCCCAGTTAATTTTGAATGGTGCCTCGCAACGTGTTAACTCCTATGCTTAACATTCTGTTCCACCTAGCTCTGTGTAGGTCGAAAGTTTGTCTCTGGGGGCATGGCTACACTTGCAGATGTAGAGCGCCAGGAGGTAAACCAGCCCTTGTAGACCGCAGCAGGGAAAGCGCTGCCATGTGTTCACACTGTCTGCTGCAAGCGCTGTGGCATAGCCACATTTGCAGCACTTGCAGCGGCATTGGGAGTGGTGCATTATGGGCAGCTATCCCACAGAGCACCTCTTCCCATTCTGGCACTGTGGTTTGTAGGCAGAGGGTGCGGGGCATCTTGGGTCCTGTCCCAATGCCCCATGATGCATCGCTTTGCAACCCAGCAATCCCTGTGCTTCCGTCCATATCTGGTCCCATCTTTCAATGGTTCTTGTACTGCGTGCTCTGTCTTCCCTTTTGGTCTGCAGAAATGGATCCCGAACTTGTGAGGAATATGCTGATGGGTCTCGACAGCACATCATGAATTGCAGTCGAGTTACTCCTGAAGCTACAAAGTGACAGTGAGGAGTCCGATGATGATGTCGACTTGAATAATGCATATGACACAAGATGGCTTGTGGCATTCACGGACATGCTCACCACAGTGGAATGCCGCTTTTGGGCTCGGGAAACAAGCACTGAGTGGTGGGATTGCATTGTCATGCAAGTCTGGGATGATGAGCAGTGGCTGCAGAACTTTCGGATGAGGAAAGCCACTTTCATGGGACTGTGTGCTGAGCTCGCCCCACCCTGCGGCACGAGGACACGAGATTTAGAGCTGCCCTGCCGGTGGAGAAGCACGTGGCTATTGCAGTCTGGAAGCTGGCAATTCCAAACAGCTATCGATAGCTCGCTAACCAGTTCGGAGTGGGAAAGTCGACTGCTGGAATCATGTTGATGCAAGTGTGCAGGGCCATTAATCGCATCCTGCTCAGAAGAACCGTGACTCTGGGCAATGTGCGTGACATTGTGGTTGGCTTTGCACAAATGGGTTTCCCTAACTGCGAAGGGGCGATAGATGGGATGCATATTTCAATTCTGACACCAGATCACCTAGTCTCCAAGTACATAAATCAAAAGAGGGTATTTCTCAATGGTTTTCCAGATGCTTGTGGATCACTGGGGGCGTTTCATGGACATTAACGCAGGCTGGTCCGGAAAGGTGCATGACGCACGTATCTTTCGGAACACAGGTCTGTTCAGGAAGCTGCAAGCCAGGACTTTCTTCCCAGACCAGAAGATCACCGTAGGGGAAGTTGAAATGCCCATTGTGATCCTTGGAGACCCTGCTTACCCTTTTTAATGCCATGGCTCATGAAACCCTACACAGGGAGCCTTGACAGCAGCAAGGAGCGGTTCAACAACAGGCTGAGTTAGTGCAGAATGACTGTTGAGTGTGCTTTTGGCTGTTTAAAGGGCCGCTGGCACTGTCTGTATGAGAAGCTGGATGTGGCTGATGACAACATCCCCATGGTTATAGCCGCGTGCTGTACCCTCCATAACATTTGTGAAGGGAAGGGTGAAAGCTTCACTCAGGCATGGAACTTGGAGGTTCAACACCTGGAGGCTGAATTTGAACAGTCAGAGACCAGGGCTATTAGAGGGGCCCAGTGCAGGGTGTGCCCACAAGGGCTGAGGGGGGAAAAGATACCAGCGAAAGAAGGACACTCAGGCCTAAGAAGAGTAAACTGTGCTTTATTGAAGGAAGGAAGAACTTACGCTCCAATCTGCGCGGGGAACCCCTAGGACGTGCGGAGGGACTGCAGGGGACTCTGGCCATTCGGGACAGCTGACCAGGCAGGACTCCACCGCGGGGGAGTCCTCTGCGGTGCTATATTCTCCGCGCTTATCTCGGGGTTACATGGGGTCAACAGCCGGTTACATTCTTACATGTATGATTTATGCTTATTACATAAACTGACTTGTTTACAGGCAAAAATATGCTGAGCTATGCTATAATATCTTTTGGCCGGGTCTGTCGGATAAAGTTCATTGAAACTGCCTGCATCCTCCACTTACATCCAGTCACGTACTCAGTCCACCACTTAGCTCCTCGCCAATCTTCCGCAACCTTGCCCCTACACAGGGCTATAAGGATTAGGGATACCTTGAGGGAGCAATTTGATGCTGAAAGCCACCAGTGATGTTTGGTGCCCTGCACAGGAGCAAAGTGCAGTGGTTCCAATGCTAGTAGGCATCTGTGTGTGCTACACTGACTTGCAGTGCCTGTTTCTTTCCTGGGCTAAGGTATCGTTTACTTAATGCAATAAAGAATGTTTCCAAAGCCAAAAAATTCATTTACTGAAAAGATATACAATTGCTGGGGAACCACACATGGCATGACACATCTGTGCTGTGTGGGAGGAGGGAAGAGTGGGGAACAGGACAATCACAGATTTGCGGATGTCCTGTTATCATATTTAGCCTTCCTGTCTGGAGTGCTGTGCAGTGAGTGCTGCACTTCAGGCTGGCTAAAATATATGGTGATGGGGGTTGAGTACAGTGGGTAAGGGTCGTAGTTTTCAGGACTGGGTGGTGAAGCTACAGGTGTTGGAGGCAGCTGGTGGTGGTAAGAACCTGGATGTTGGGGAAAGTAGGTTGGCAGTGACATGGGGGCACAAGGGAAAGAGTTTTGGGACAAGGGGTGCCAGTGGGGTGAGGATGGGTGTGGATCTGCTTCGTCTGTAGTGCTATGAGCACCTGCATCGAGTCCGCTTGTCACTCCATAATGCTTAGGAACCACTCCATGCTTTGATGCCAGTGATCCGTATTCTGCTGGCGGAGCCTCCTTTCGGTCTCCCACCACTCCCGTACTTTTTGATTTTCAGTAAGGGACTGCTGCATGACTTCATGCAGAAGGTCCTCCTTGGTTCTTCACAGCCTTTCAGCCTTTGATAACAAGGACAGCTGGGATCTCAAGGTTGCATCTGTAAAGCCAAAATGCAACACTTAAGAGGCAGCATTGTTCACACTAGACAGAGCAATGATTCGGCTGAACTTAAAGACAAGCAGAGTGCACACAATAACAGAAAGTGCCCGTCCCAAAGTGCACATAATCCACGAGAGCCCCAAAATGGTGAGTGAGCACAGGGGCAAGGGGGACTGATTGTTTCAGGGCTATACTGTCCTCTGGGGTTCTGTGGCTTGGGGAGAACTGCAGGGGGCCCCTATACTGAACACTGTCCCCACATTTTCCATAGGATGAGTTTGTCCTGGAAGATATCTCGCTGCAGAAGGTGACCTGGGAAGCAAGGGAGGGTCTTCTACTACAATGAGGCTTCTGCGCTGGGCCTTATCCCACTTGCCTGCGTGCAGCAATGGTCCCCTCACGGCACAGTGGCGTGGACATGTTAGCCTGACTGGGACAAAGAGCACAGTAGCTCTGCCAAGGAATCTGTGCAAGCAGATTGCCCAGCTTCTGCATGAGACCTTTGATGAGATCAACGAGGCCAATTACCGCAATGTGAGAGCACATCAACGCCCCCTATTCCACATCTAGGCATGCACGCGGCCCTAACCCTTTTTTCTGCAACCCTCCTTGCCCCAAGAGCCTGCACCGAACAACTACCTTCCCAAAGTAAAAGTTGCTTACCGGGCACCACCTCTGCTGTTTGTTCTTCCACAAGCACCATCCGCTGCGACTGGCTATCTTGCTCCTGGCTTGAAAACAGCTCCTGGCTGCATGCATTCAGAGATGCCGGGCCGTCCTCTGGCTCTGGGCCCTCCTCCTCCTGCCTTGTTGAACTCTGGGCTGCTACGGCCTTTGAGCGCTCTTCGCAGTGGAGGTGGGGTCGCCCCCAAGTATCGCGTCCAGCTCTTTGTAGAAACGGCAGGTCGTGGGGGCAGCACCATAGTGGCGGTTTGCCTCCCGCACTTTGTGGTAGGCATTCTAAAGCTCCTTCACTTTAATGCTGCACTGCACTGCATCCCAGTCATGGCCCCTTTCTATCATAGCCCTTGATATCTGCCCATAGGTATCATAATTCCTACAGCGAAAGTGCAGCTGGGACTAGGCAGCTTCCTCCCCCAAAACACTGATGAGGTCCAGCACCTCGCCATTGCTCCATACTGGGGATCACCTGGCACGTGGAGGCATGGTCACCTGGGAAGATTTGCTGAGAGCACTCTATGCCTTGCTGAGCAAACAGGAAGGGAAATTTCAAAATTCCTGGAGAATTTAAAGGGTGGGTCTGATGGTTGGTCACCTGAGGGCAGGGCAGTAGACCAAAGTGATGACCAGAGTGGCTAGAACAGGCATTGTGGGACACTTCATGGAGGCCGAGCAGAGTGCATTAATAGACCAGGGCGTCCACACTGGCACTGCGGCGCTCCAGCTGGGGCACAGCAAGGTTTATGCTTCTCGCTTCTCATAGAGGTGGAGTACCAGGGGCGCTCCAGCCATGGAATCCAGGCGCTCTATGTGCCTTGCCAGTGTGGACACCTCAGGAGTTAGGGCTGATTTAATGTGCTCCAACTCACAAGTGTAGCCAAGGCCTCGGTATGTCTATACTTAAAATGCTACAGCAGCACAGCACTTCAGTATAGGCACTACCTACACTGACAGGAGGAGTTCTTCCATTGGTGTATGTAATCCACCTCCCCGAAAGGTGGTAGCTAGGTTATCAGAAAAATTCTTCCATTAACCTAGTGTTGTCTACATGGGGAATGATGTAGTTAAATGAACCTAATTATCTAGTGTAGACCAGGCCTCAGTCTCTTCCACCAACAGAAGTCAGTCCAATAAAAGATATCAGCTCACTCACCTTATCTCTCACATGTCAGACGGTCAAATGTCACTTCACCTTGCACGGTCCCTTGAAATATGTGCTAAACAATCTGTTCCATCTTGTCTCTGTAAATTCAAACACGTTCTGAGAGGAGAACTGGATTTCTAGCTGCCCACGTGTCATTTTCTAACATAGATGATAAACAAAAGTCATACCAACACCAAACTAAGGCCTTGTCTATACTTACAAGCTTACAGCAGCAGAGCTGTAACGCTGTAAGAGTGCTTGTGTAGCTACGTTACGCTGATGAGAGAGAGCTGGGGAGGGATAGCTCAGTGGGTTGAGCATTGGCCTGCTGAACCCAGAGTTGTGAGTTCAGTCCTTGAGGGGACCATTTAGGGATCTGGGGCAAACATTGGGGATTGGCCTTGCTTTGAGCAGGGGGTTGGACTAGATGATCTTCTGAGGTCCCTTCCAACCCTGATATTCTGTGATTCTCTCCCATGGATATAATAGAACCAGCTCAATGAACAGCAGTAGTTATGTTGGCAGGAGAGCATCTCTGGCTGACAGCACTGTGATACTTGAATGCTCAAGCCAGCAAAACTTATATCACTTAGGGGTGTTTTTTCACACCCCCAGTGACAAAAGTTTTGCTGACATAAGTGCTATTGTAGATATGGCCTAATTTATTTAGTGTTCTTTTTGTTTTAGTACCCTGGGAAGAGAAGCAAAGGTATGACAAACGTTAGACTGTAGGCAAGCACCCCTTCTGAACCTTTGTGAGCTGTTCTTAAAGAGTGAGAAAGGGCCATTCAACTAGAAAATAAATAAATGTGTGATGATTGGTGCTATAAAATATTTCCTTATTTTTGAGGATTTTATGACTGGGATGAGAGGAGAAATTTAAGTCAGTAGAAGAAATACTTACATTGTCCTTGAAGTTCAGGGAAAGAAAACACTAGCTCTACTCTCATGCATACAGTAGATGCTCTGTAGCACAAAATGCCAACTGGCTAACAGCAGGGAACACACCCATTAAGGAATCAGGGTAGCTTCAGCAGGCTTTTTGCTAACCAACGATTAACTGTAATTCATTGGAGGATTACCCGTACTGGGACTAGGTGACAGATATGTACCTAAAAACAGTTGTGCAATGACTTCGAAACTATAATACTTCTAGCCACTTGCGAGAGTTTTTATTTTTAATTTCTTAACAGCTACACTCTGCCTAATCACACTTCAGATCAAACAACCTATAAAGGTGCAGTGTTTTTTATGTTCTATTTGACATTTTTATCACTGACTATAAGAACAAGGGCTTTGTTTTTGTTCAGATGACTCCTCCCTACACATAGAGGTTCTCAGTCCCCCACACAGCAAAAAGTCAGCTCCCCTCATCTTCCCTCCCCCTCCCCGCCCCAGACACGCTCTGTCACCATAAATACACAGCCACACCGAGCTGCACTCTCTAGACGCACGCATCACTCCCCTTACACACACACTTGCTCACTCCACACCCTCACAAACACACACAGGAGGAACCTTCACACTGCAAACAGACACTTCCATACAAAGACTGTCCTTCCCCCCAGTTCTACCCATACTCACAGGCCTCATTCCCCCGCGCATCTTTCTCTTTAATTTCCTACAAAGCCTTCAAAGTTCTTCACCTCGCTGCCACTGCACGGACCACAGCCTCCACTCGCGGGGAAGGGACTCGGGGCTCCCTGTCCCCCGCGTGTTGCGTGCTTGACAGGCTTGTTGCGGTGTGGGGGGGGTGTAGCTTCTGCCCCCGCTCCCCGCTTCTCCCGGGGCCGCTGGGGTAGGACAAGCAGGCGGCGTGTTTATTTGTGCTGTCCCATGCCGACAGCCAGCAGGGCATATTTCGCCTCTTCTCTGGGCCCCTTCACGCCTGCGCCGCAACAGCATCTGTTTGCACTGGAGTTCTGTAAAAGCTACAGGGTAACTAAATTGCGGCGGAAAGTGTTCCAGAGTCAATAAGCAAAAGACACCGAGAAAGTCTCCACCTTAACTCTGGCCTCTGGCTATCCTTTGGGTAATTACGTAAATGTCAGCAGCCTCCCTCCCGCCCCTCGGCTGGTTATGCAATACCCAGCGCATATATCTACTGTACCACACACCGCTCCCATAGGGCGGGGGGGGGGGGAGTGCTGAGGGAGGAGGAAAGGGGGTTCAATTCAAGTCTGGGCCTGCCCCTATTACTCCCCTCCGGGAGGCATCCATTGGCTGCACCCCGTGAGCGCCGAGCTCTGATTGGGGACGGGCCGCTGCCAGTCACAGCAAGGGCTGGCATGAGGACTGTGCGTTGTGAGGAGTGTGCAGGACTGACCTACTAACACAGATCCCTCGCCAACGGCGGCGGCAGTAGCAGCAGCAGACGCGCTCGCGCCCTGGCTGATACCGAAGCTGCTCCCCGCGCAGGACTGGTGCAAGGGGCTTCCGGGGCTTCACAGCCCCTCACACCGAGTTCTCCCGTCCCGCTCCCCAGAGCGATCGGGAGAAGAACAGAGGCAAAAGCTAGCGCTTTGCTGGGAGGCTACAGCTTATTCCATTCTACCAGTGGCGATTATGAAGGTAAGGTAACATTGTAATGGCTTGTAGTCTACACTGGATCCCTCGGTGTGGTGCTCCCCTCGCTTGTCTTACACACTTATCGGTGGGTGCGTGTGTAAATCTCTCTCGATAGCTCCACGTAGCTGGATAGAGACGTGTTGGCGATGTGTATGTGTGCGTGCGTGTGTGTATTATGTATATCTATATTAAAAACTTTTGCTAGCATGTCAGTACTGGGACTCGCCACCTTAAGGTGGCCGCTTTGATTGCAGCGCCCTCTGGACAGCACGTAGACTTGGAGCTGCTGCTGCTTGTTTGCTGGCTTTGGCTACATTGTTGTTGCATAATATGTCTTCTTGTTTGAGGAAAATTGATGTTTTCATGGAGAAAAGCGCCAGGGAGATTTGATCTGACGCTGATCCATCTCCCTCTGGGTGGGGAAAGGGTATATCTGGAGGAGTGGGGAAATAGCTGATTAAAAATACTGGTTTTGCCTGCGAAAAGAAGGTTAGTTAAAGGAATAATAACACGAGAAGGAATTTAGAAAATGTCTGTTTAAAAATTTACCTATTTTAGATTAAAAAAAACAACATACCTCAGACCCTTTTTACCCTCTGACTGTGTAACAAGCCCGAGGTAAGGTTTGTGGGTCTTGTTCTTTCGCACATTGCATAATCTGTTCACTGTGTACTGGCAAGCATTTGGATGTGATGTGTGTGTGTTGCGTGTGCAATACTTTTGGTAATTTTGGTGCAGATTTAGGGAATTAGATCATTAAATGCACTAATTTTTTGTGTATTTCACACCAAATAAGGAGTTTTTATGCCGATTGTCAGTGACTGTCGGCGAGTTTACATATTCACTTTGCGCTCAGGGATCTGGTTTTTATACATGGAAAAGAGTACATGTAGCATTCAGTTCTCTCAAATTATATTAGTTTGTATTTGTCTGTGCCTTTTCCCTCACTTTGCTCACTGTTTTTCAGACACTACAATACTGATCATTTAATAGTTCCTGGAAATGTTGCATTATGTAACCACAGAATTTGCTGGCAGTCAGGGTAGAAAGAGGGAGCTAATTACGCGATTTTATAATCTCGATACAAAGAAACTAGGACAATCCCAGGCTAAAAAAAATGCCACTGTAACAGATTTTTTAAAAGATGTGTTTAACAAGGAAAGTAGTCAAATGGTAAGTAGGGAGGTAACTCGTGGTTGCTGAATGTGGTATATATCCTTATAATGAAATTTGTGTTAATCTATATTTAGCCCTATCACAGTTTAGCGCTTGTGGCTTCATGTGCTATTTCGGTCTTTTCTCCAGAGCTGGACAAATAGACGTTCAAGGCCATTTGGCTGAGTTTTTAACCCCACGCTTTGATAAGGCTGTATTTTTAGGAAGGTATTTCTCCCAGACGCTAAGCATTTTGCTAGGAATTGGCTTTCATTTAAAAAAAATATTAAAGGGATTGATACAAATTTTAGATCATGCCAACAGCACCGAAGAAGCAAGATAGTCTGTCACCTCCCTTCGTGATCGTAATGAACCCGGGCGAAGTAAAACGCGGGGGACAGGGGGGGAGGCCTGGGGGAAGGGGTATCCCATTCACGTTAAATATTGGTGGTTTAGAATGTCACATGAGAAAAGCTGATGTAGGTCAGTATTACATTTTATATTAAACCAGTTTTTGATTATCCTCTGCCTATGATCACAATAAAGTGTACACAGGCAAAGCTTAGAATAATGACGATGATGCTCAATGAGAAAATAAGAATATTTCCTTTATATGTTGAAAACTATTAATGGCCCCGAACCTGAATTCCTTGTGGAGCCAGAACTGCCACTGGTTTCAACGGCTGAAGCCGGGGATGCAAAATCGGGGGCAGGGTCTTTAAATGTGCCCTTATTGAGAAGACTGGACTCCTTTCTTAGGTGAATTAAATAAGTAAGATAATTAAGGAGGTCAAGCTCTTTCCAGGAACCGAACCTGATTTTAGCCACGGCCCCCAGTTTACAGTGTGTATTATTGTTGTTGCACATTATTCCCTGCTGCCCATGTGGAGTCAATGTAGCTGGTGCATAGGTAGGAGGGTGGGTGGATGTGTAATTTTTTGTGGGGGGAGGGAGGGAAGGGTAGGCTTAAGGGCTGTGGGCTTAGTCCATTGGGCGGGAGTGCTGGTGCAGGTCTGAGGACCTCCTACTGCTTGGAGGAGAGCAGCAGCCCCTTCCCAAAGTAGCTGTCTTACCCGGGGAGGGGTTTGCATGGGGAGGGGCCGCAGAACTAGGCGTTGGTTATTGTGACTGGGGAGGCGGATGGCGCTGCTGCTGCTCCGCATTCCTTTGTTCTGGAGCTGGGGGCGGATGGGAGGCAGCCCTGAGCCCCGGGAAGGGCGGGAGGAGGCGAGTGCTTGGGGAGGGCAGCCTGGGCTGAGCACGAGTGTTAAGGAAAGCGGAGTAAATAAGGCAAGATAATAATACTCGGTTGTTTTGTACTGACAGGGAGCGAGCGAGAGAAGAACAGGCTCGGCAGTGGGAGGGATGCGTCTCCAGTCACGTAGTGTGTGTACTCGCTGTTCATTAACACGCAGCCGAAGGGGGGAGGGAAGGAGGGGAAAGGAAGCGTCTCTCCCTCTGTGTTGAGAATGGAAACATGTTAAGCAATTCAGCCCGCTCCCACGTTCTCTGCTGCACCAACCAGAGCGCCCTGCTTCAGCAGCCTTTGTGCCTAGGCTTGGCAGCCACGCGTACGATATTGGGCTTTCTAGGGCGGCTCGCACAGTTTAGTCGCCTGCTCATGTCTTTGAATTTTACACAGAGAGAGAATTTTACTTCTGTTGGACGTTAGAGACAAGCGCGCTATAGAGCAGGACTGTGCCCTCCCCCTCGCCAGCCCCCCACACACTTGCACTCCTGAGCCTGGTAATAACAATTAGAACTTCACTTGTTCCAAACACTACACTATTAAGTAGTTTACTCCTACAACACCTTGTGCTGCAGGTAAGATCCTCGTTTTACAGAAGTGGAAACTGAGACACAGCCGTGCACATTTTTATTATTTAAGTGGGTTTATGCCTTTTGCTGAATTTGACTCAAAACAATGTGACAATGTATCTATTTGGCGTTATTGACAAATATGTTCAAAAATATCCTGTTTCAGACTAGCAGCTGTGTTAGTCTGCATCCGATGAAGTGAGCTGTAGCTCACGAAAGCTTATGCTCAGATAAATTTGTTAGTCTCTAAAGTGCCACAAGTACTCCTTTTTTTTTAAAGAAAATATCCTGTGATTACTCCTTATCCTTGCATCTTGAATGATCAAATTCAAGTATAAAGAAAAGGAGTACTTGTGGCATCTTAGAGACTAACAAATTTATTTGAGCTCCAATTATCTGTATATAAAATCTATTTTGAATTTACCTTACCACACTCAGTAATTCATGCAACACAAAGCCTACATTAATATAATGCTAAGGGCATTATTCTTATTGTCGTCAGTCAAAACACTGACTTCAATAGGAATTTTCACTGAATAAGGTCTGCAGGTTTGTCCCAAGACATGATTTAAACCAGCAAAATCAAGGAACACTGAGCAATGCTCCTTCACATTATTGGCACTAGCAGAAACTACTATAAAAGTTGTTACATTATAGATATCTTTATTTGACTTTTAATGTTTTAACATTTTTCAGAATTATCTGCCTTCACTTTCCATTTTTAGTTATCTTCTATTTTTAGCTTGACTTATTCTCTAAAGAATTGTTAACTAGCTTTCAAAATATCCAGCTTCCTGGATTTGCCCTCAAAGCTTCACGTTTCTGTTTGAATTGATTTTCTAAGGAAATGATTTAAAAGGTGTCAAAAAGCTTACAGTCTTCCCACAAGCAATATGAACTTCTGCGACCTCCTCACAGCTTTTCTTAGCCTATGAAGAAATGGTATTTGCCAAACTTTTGCTGAAAATTGTGGAACACGCAGATATTGCTTTTGCTGATTTTAGCATGATTATATAGTCAACAGAATATATCAGTCACTGTTCTACTTGTTCAAGCACTTGTCTTTTTTTATTTCAAGATATCTTTTGCTCATTTTAAGCTGACTTACTTTAGCAAATGGTTATGCAAACAACATTTATGCAGTTTTTTTTTCCAGACAGCAACCCTGTTGCCATATTTTTGTGAGCTGCAGTTATAACATCACTGTGATGCAATAACTTGAACAATAAAATTCTTTGTTTGAGTCTTACTACACACAGTTAAGTAATGTGTCTGAGTCATCAGCTTAATAGATTCTTCCAGGTGACCTTGCCATGATAATTACAGCCAGTTATGAGATATAAATGTGCTTAGGATATGTAATAAAAAAAGATGCAAATATATGCCCAAATCCTGCGGTCCCTTCCCAGGCAAAATATCAATTAATTTAAATGTTAAACTATTTTTCAGAGTTAAAAACCCATTTAGGTAAACATTTTCATTCAAATATTGGTAATTTTAACTGACAGTGGTGGGGGGAGCTTGACTGTCAAAAGTAAAGACTTGAAAAATGAAGACATATTGAATTTGATTCAAAATGTGATAGAAACAATGCCCTTGAGAACTCCTTCTTTGTTTCTCTATTTTTAAAAAAGTGTGCCTGAAATTTATTAGCATTAATATATTGTTTGATATCCTGTGTTTTTTCCTGCCTAACTTACACTTGAGTTGGTGCTTGTCCAAATTAGCATAACATAGGAATACTGAAAGACTTTGTAAATTGTGAGCATGGATATTACATAAGAGATTTTCTTTTTGATTGGAAAGAAATACCCTTTTTACAACTTTTTTTTAGTTTTCTCTGCTGTGGATTTACAATATAAAAACAGTGGCAATGAGCTGTCTGTAGGAAAATTATATAATTTGATTATGGAGTAAAAATACTGTTATAATAAAATGAAGTTCATATTTTTAGCATATATTGTTTATTATTAACACATGCTTAGAGTCTTCTATTTTGTGTTTGTTGATAATATGTTTTGTCAAGGAAGCGCACACTCATCAGAGCATAGACTCTTCATTGTTTTAACAAGTTTAGGAAGAAATGTTCACATCCCAGTGGTAGTAAATAGAAGATTAAATGGAATGTGCTTTTAAAGCTTTCACTCCTTGTCATTCTGTGCTGGAATATTTTCTGGTTTTTTGCATGTATCCTGTTTTAGTTACCATCTTGCAGGGTTATCATACAGCTTTGACTCAGTTTTCTGTTCTGTTGCTGAGTTTCATGATAAGGGTTTCTGACTGAATAACCAAACTCAACCTCCCATGGAGTTTGCATCACAAGCAGTTCAATGTAGGCCCCAGTCCTGCAACTGGCTCTGTGGGGATGGACTCACCCCTACATTTGCATGGAGTCCAAGCAAAGTCCACAGTGGTCCATGCATCTGGATCATCTTGCAGGATTGGGGCCTACATATATTGCTATTTCTGTTTCATTTGCAATGTGTGTTAGAAATTATTACACATATTGTCTGTTACATCATGATGTTTCACTTTTTTGCACGTCATTTCTTATGGCAGAGAAAAAGGACCAAATCATCAGGTGATGTACATTGACATAGTACCACTGCCTTCAATAGAACAACACTAGTTTACACCAGCTGAGGATCTGGCTCATATTTTGGATTGGTGAGAATACAATACAATTAATACATAAAAATGTTATTTGTTTTAGGTATAATTGAAACAACATTCCATAATCATTTTTGTATTTTTGTCTTATGGCCTTTAATTGAGGGGAAAACAAAACAAAAGAATTTTTTTCAGTGTTTGAAATTAGCTAGGTTGTGATTTTGTTTTTAGAAACCTTTTAATATGAAAATAGTGATCTTGCATAATCTAAAATGTTTATTATGAAGCAGCAAGTGACATAGGAAAAATCTTCCTGTTATAGTCTTCATAATTTTACAAATTATTTTTAGCTCAATTTAGTATTTTTTATAAAAACCCATTAGAACCATAATAATGAAATATGTTTCTTTACCCGAGTATGTCGTTCTGTGCACCTTTACACTACCAGCTTATCATTAAGATTGCTCCTAAGTACTCTGAATTAATGACACTGATTTCTTCTAAAACAAAGCACTGAAGCATTTGTTTTGGAAAAATAAAAAAAAATCAATAGAGAATTACACAGGCTTTCCAAACAAATAGGAAGAAAATATAGGTCAAATGTGGGCTACTAACCTTGACTGACCTTTTGAGCAACAGCTATTTTTAACACACATTCAGTTCTCTCCAGATGATTTTATTTGCATAATTTGTGTTATTAACCTTTGAGAAGCAAACTATACTTTAATGAGTTAATCTGTAATTATTAAGATAAACAGTAACAGAAGTGTGTTTCCTAACGCTGAAGGCCTTTCATAAGACTTCAACCTGCTGGGTACAGCTTCAAGTTTGACAATATGGAAGTAATATAGTATTTCAATGGCCTTGATAAGCTTTACTGTATTTGTGCGACTGTGGAGAATCTAATACATTAACAATACACTTAATGTGAATGTAAGAGAATCAAGTAGATTCCTCTTTTTATTACCTTTAAAAAAGTAAAATACAGAAGTTTTATCCAAAATGTTTCATCTTGTGTGAAAACATCATAATGAGTATCACACTGATCTGTAATTTAATTATGGATTGATCCTTCAGTCTTTAAACGCTTAAGATGCTCATTGATTTGAGAGAGGTGTGTTATGTGCACAGGATTAAAAATAGTAGATAATATCAGAATTCTAATCCTAATTTTATCATGTTTCCTCTGTAACTTTGAGCAGCCACTCAGTCGTACCATGTAATCCTGTTCACCAGTGTGGTCCCAGAAAGGCTAAACTTCATCTGATCTAAACTGCATGGGTTGGCTGACCCACAAACCTGCATGAGGGCTGGCATTCTGGATCCACTCAAGCCAGTGGCGATTATTTTGGATTGTTTTGAATGCCTTCAAAATGGGATTATTTTGAATGCCTTCAGTGGGGTTTGGCTCAGACCATAGCGGCCAGATCCTCAGCTGGGGTAAATTGTCATAGCTTCATTAACTTTAGTGTGTCATAACTGAATTAACTTCAGAAATGGAACTATGACAGTTTACACAAGGTGAAGATCTATTCCCAGGGCAGTAGAAATTCCTGGTACTACATTTGCCTATAATCTGCAAAGAGTAGTTGTAGACAGGCTCCAAATTGTGGAGGAGATTTGGTTCCTCAGACTCACCTGTTAATTTAGGTTACATCTACGCTACAAGCTAAGGCTGTGATTCCCCCTGCTTGAGGACATATACTCGGGCTAGCTCTCATGGAGTTAGCATGAGTATAAATAGCAGTGTAGCCTTGATGGCGTCAGTGGAGGCATGGCTGAGCTGAGTCAAGTACATATTCACCAGGTTCAGGCATATTCGTACTCAGCATGGCTCAGCTGTGCCACTGCTGCCATGACCTGTTCTACCACTGCTAAACTGCTATTTATATTTGTACTACCTCTATGAGAGCTGGCAGGATTATGAGTACATGAACAGGAGAATCACATCCCTAGCTCTTAGTCTAGATGTAGTATTTGGCTGCATGCTCACTTTCAAAATTGCACCCTCAGTTTCCCCAGCTGGAAAATGGGGATGATAATACATCTTCACTTATTAAGGTGTTGGGGTCATTTAGTCAGCAAATATTTGTAAAGTGCTTTGAAGATGGAAAATACTAAGTATATTCTTAATTTTTTAGAATTGTTGAGTGCAAAATGGTTGTTGGGTTGGGTGCCTAGGAATGCCAGTGTTTCTGGTTCATGAAGAGACTTTAAAATAGTTGCCCCATGACAGGATGCTAACGATAACATATCTAATGATAACTATGCAAAACATTGAAAACAACAATTGGAAATATAAATATATATACTTAAATTTAGTTTGCTTGGCTGGTTGGTTTAGCAAATTGTTTATATTATACTTGACAGTGTTTATTTAAATAGGTGCTAAGAAGTCACAGTGACAGAATACATGGTTCTCACTTTAGAAATATTAGAAATGAATATTTTGCAGTAGTCTTGCTCTTGGGAGGACTCTAAGATTTGTAGACTTTTGATTTTAGAAAATTGCAGAGTGATTCAAAAAAAGTCTTGAAACTGTATTTCATTTGGTCCAGCGCAGTCATCACCAGAATGTTGAGGGAACAGAAATAATTACCAGGGCTGCCGGAGTCGGAGAAGAGGGGAGAGTTTCTCCCAGTCACCCCAAAATGATGGAGGGGCAACTGGGCCAAGTCTGAGTGAGAGGTGTTGGATCTGGGCGCAGGTTTGGGGCCACCATCAATAGTGTGGGGAGTGACTTGCTCACCCCAGCGGGGCCCACATCCCACCAGCACCGCCACTGGCATCATCACACTGGGCCCAAGGCCACCCACCAGGCCGAGAGCCCGGAGGTGGGAGTGGAATTAGGTATACCACTCCCACCAGTAGTAGGGCTGGAACTCAGGGAGAGGTGGGACTGGGAGCAGCCCCCTGGCCTCACACTGGGCAGAGCCCCTCCCCACTATCTCCACAGGGAGGGCAGTGATCCCACAGGCCTGGGGTCTCTCTGACACCCTATCCCCTCTTCTCTTCTTAAATTCTTTTGTTTCCATGATAATTTTCTTGGAAGGATGCAAGTGGGGAGGTTCAGTTTTAGGTTTTGCCTTAGGTCCCCAAAATCCTCTCGGTGGCCCTGATAACAACCAATGTTAAAACAACACTGTAGAAAGAGTTGCATAAAACATTTTTGAAGAATGTAATCATGGATATAATGCAAATTATTTTTGATAAATATAGAATCATTCTTTGCTAAGGAACGTAAATCTTGTTCAGTAAAACAATATGGGTCATATTTTGGCTTGGGAAACACATGTGTATGGGAACCACATGTGTGTATTTCAATGCACAATTGACCTACATGATTACATTAGAAAGAACAAAGAGAGTCAAAATTATGGCCCAGTCCTGTAACTGTTGTGCTTATTTAAGTATATAATATGAATGTGAGTAAGAGCTGCATGATCAGGACTTTTATAATATCTTGAGAATATCTGAGTGCTTCAATATTTTAAAATCCATGGATAAATTAACATCTCATGGCTTCTGTGTACATCATTTCTTGTTTCATTAGTATGAATTTTAGAGAACAGTCATATTAGCTCTTGAATCTGAGGTCGGACTCTGCTCGGATTGAAGTCAATGGCAAAATTGCAGTGGAGCAGGATTGGGTCTGTAATTAAGTTAATAGGGTTGAATGCTATTACACTGTTGAATTGGCACTCAATGCCATTAACGTCAACCAACCCAATAAATAATTAAATAAATAAAAACCATCAGCAGTGATTAATGTACAGCAGTATTAAATGTTGGTTTTAGAATACTTTGAGGGAGTGATAAAGTAATTGCAAAATTAATCATAAGGGAAAATATTGGAATTTGAAATGTAGTCAGAGGAATCATTACAGTTCATTAGTTTATGTGTAAATACTCATGTTTTCCAGTGGAATTATAAAATACAATTGAAGTGAAATGGCTGTTTTTATTGAAGGCATTTTGCCATTATCATCAGATGGAATTTAATTTGTTTACAGACTCTGTATTGGGCTGATCCACAAAGAAAACCATTAACAGACAAAGGATTTTAGTTCTCCGTTTGTATAATGGCAGTTTTCAATAAGATGATACAAATGTTCAAGGAAGATACTGATAGAACTAATAATTTGCTGGTGCTTTAATGATTTACCAAAAGCATAATGTCAAAGCTTTTGACATAAGTGGCAATTATATAAGGTTGACATAAAAATCATTGGCCAAATTTAGACCTTATGAACTTCTCACATGGATACAGGCCGGGGACGCATATGAATGTTGCCTGCAAAGCACTGTTGTTTTGAACACATATTTAGATGAGCCATGGACTTGTGTACAGTCCCTCCCTCATTCAGGTTATTCATGCCAAGGGCACCAGTAATATGCACAAGATGGAGCATGGCCAAAACAGGAGATATGTTTGTTGAAACAAGCAGACCATGCCTCCTTGGAATACCCCAATCTGCAGAAGTCCTGTGGCGTATGAACTCTGCAGTAAGCGAAATATTACAGCCCACTCTGGTTGTATTTTTTTGCTTAAGTGCAACCTGAGGCCTGAATATTGCCCTGTGAAAGTACATATGAATTTGGAATCATTGCATACTCAAAACTCCCAGTGACTGAGAAAAGATTGGTGGTAAAGAACTGAATTTTGAGTATTTGGTGTTTGGATGGGTTTGTAATAATTCTGATCCTGCCAATTATCTGTTATTATTTTTATTACTATTAATATTATTTTATTATTATTGTTCCTAATTATATGTAAATGGTAGTGCCCCAAAGCTTCATTCAGGATGGACTGGGGTCTCATGCTGAATGTTGTACAAAAACATATAAAGACACGATTCTTGCCTTGAAACACAATCTAATTGAAAGACAAAACACCACACTCCCACAATAAGAATGAAAGGGGAAGGAAGATGAGAATAATTGTGATAAGATCATGTTGCTACTTAAGCTGGCTTGTATATAGCTTGAAGGTTTCAAATAATGTAAATATTTTAAAAATACGTACAAATAACTAATTATCATCAAATCCCTATCACTGTTGAGTATTTTCAGTGACTAATAACTTTAAAAAGACCTTGAAGTTCCAGCTTGTACAGCACAGCACATTAATGTATAGGATATAAGCTTGTATGTATATAAGTATCCCCTCTTCTAGGAGTATCAATGACTGGTATCTGATTTTGATTTCAGTTATCTACTACATTTTATATTTTACTCAAATCTCTGTGTCATTCGGGTCTGATCCAACTCCCACTGAAGGCCCACTGTATCCCACTGACCTCAATAAGAATTGGATCAGAGTCTAAAAGAATAAATACATAACTTCTGGTAAAGATATGTTTTCATTGATATTTGATAGAAGAGGTGTACTGTTTCACATTATGTACTTTAGAAAGTGGATACATTTCCTCATTGGAAAGCCAAAAATTATTTAATGACTTGAATAAATATGATTGCCAGTGTTCATAATATACCAAGATAGTTACTGGTCAGAATTCTTTTGATCCAGTAATCCCAGTGCAACAGAATAATGTAAATGTAACCTGTGCGTTGTATTTTATATGACATAAGTCAAAGGATGAACATTCTGGAAATGATTTCAATTTCCAGTTGACCAGATTGATTATATTTTTTGTTACTGTAACACAACATTATGTGATGCATTTAAACATTTTACCTGTATTGCAAGCGTTCTGACTCATTTAAAGAAATGTACATTAAGATCCATATGTTCAACACTGAATTTTTAACAGTATTATACTGCATTCAGTTATACTAATGCTAAAATATTGCATTGTAATAAGCAGAATTGCTGTAATGGTATTTTAGGAAAACAAACTATAGAGAATTTTATATGAAGAGTGGGGATATGTGTTGGGGAGTTTCTTTCTATAAAGGCCTGATGCAAAGCATGTTTAACTTAATGGAGTGACTCCCATTGACTTCACCATGGGCTTTAGATCAGGCCTAATTGTGTAGTTATTTGTATATTAGTTATATTTCTGCTTTGCAAGCACAGTAATTTGGGGTGGTGCTGTTGCTGTAAATAGTTAATGTTGTCTATGGAGTGGTTAGCTCTTGACTTCATTTTCCATTAAGGTTTCATTACCAAAGACAAATAGTTATAAGCCAGTAATTAACCATGGATTTTAGGAAAGTCTGCTTAGCTGTTCTATTAAACGTGTTAATTGTTCATGACAGAGGAGTTGGCACGGTTTGATGAAACAGAACCCAACTTGAAACCCAAGTCTTTATGATCCCTGATTAATTGTTATTACATCACTCACTCCACTTTGCCTTCTGAAAAAGACAAGAGAAACTGGCAGAATACAATTCATTAATTTTTTTGTAACTTTCCCAGCTGATAAAGTTAAAATTAGTTTCATTAGTCATTGTAAACACATGCCCAATAAATAGTGATATTAAGCTAAAGTCACTGATATATTTATTTTTTTAAATATGCAGGCAGCATACAGATAGTCTGTAAAAGCAGTTGTCTTGCTAAATTTATTTTATCGGGAACATGACTAACCATGGAAAATTTGGTACGGAGGGAAACTATGTCTAGGATCAAAAAGAAATTTTGTTATGAGAACAAAGTATTTTTGTATTGATATGAATTAAATAATACAAAATGCCAGCTTAAATGCTACGTCAAATTTTAATGACAAAATGTCTTGAGTTAAAGGTTAAGCTAGTTTTCTTTAGTTGATGATCCCATTTCAGATTTAAACTTCTATTCTAATTTGTGCAGTATTTTGCTGCAGCTGTGTATCCTTAAATGTTGCTAAATTGTACTGTGGTATAGTAAAAACATTTTTCAAATGAGAATTATGTTAGTAAATGTTGTTATCTTAATGTAATTTCACTAATTACTCAATAGCTTTTTCTTTTAGATACGAGAGATCAACCTTATGTAATATTTTTTTTCTTTGTTGTTGATTTTTGAAAAAAAGTGGCGTGTCAGAATTATATAACTTGTGCTTAAACTAAATTATATTGATATGACCAGGCAAAAAGGGTTCTTAAATGTCATGTGATCTCTATACTAAATGTAAAAATAATATATGTTTTAAAAGTTAATTATTTTTATGTGCTGTGTAGCTGGAATGTGTTCTCTGTCATTATTTTAAGGCAAAGAAAAAAACATTCTAACCTCTTTAAATCAGCGTGGGTTATTTTTAATCTGTAATGGACCCAAATATATAACATTTCTGAATCACACACCACAGCTGCTTTTGGAAGAGAGATCTTTATATGGAGGGATAAGATATTTTCCAGTGCTGCTAATCAACATGTCTAGTCATCTGTTAGTGTAGAGGCTTACGTTGGTCAACGATGTAATGGGAAGTTCTGTGACAACATTATTGTTGAATCAAAACCAAATGTTATTTTTACTGCATTTCTTTGGATCAGACTTTACTTGTTTTGAAAACAGGAACCATTATTTTAAAGTTTTTTAATTGCATGGGGGAGGGAGAAAAGCTGCTAGCTGGTTACATAAAGTGAACTGGATCATTGTAAGTGTTGAGTTTCTTTTGTAGTCTAGTAGGTTTAATGAATCAATCATTATTGTAAATTATGTATTTTGAAAGTAGCATTTTAAAACAGAAAATCAGCAATAATCAACTAATAATTGGTGCTTTTTATTTGTTACAGGTTACTTAGCAAGTTCCCGTTACATCTCTCAAGAAGTAAATTGGATCTGAACATTCTTCTGTTTAATAATATGAAACAAAAGGAATAATGCATATGGATTTAGAATTACTGTATTTATTAGGTAGTTATGGTTTGAGAAGCACTGGGAAAACAGCTCACTCTGTTACTCATCATAGATCTACTAAAAATTGCTTCTGATGCAGCTGAGAAAAATGCAGACCATTAAAAAGGAACAGGCACCTGTTGATGCAAGTAGCAATACGGACAAAATCATGGTGCTTAATTCTACTTTAACAGAAGTGTCTGAAGACTTGGCTACAAATGAAGACATAATACTTAATGAAGGAAATAGTGGAAAAAACAAATCTTCATCATGTCGGAGAAAGCGGGAATTCATTCCAGATGAAAAGAAAGATGCTATGTATTGGGAAAAAAGACGAAAAAATAACGAAGCTGCCAAAAGATCTCGTGAAAAACGACGACTGAATGACCTTGTCTTAGAGAACAAACTAATTGCATTAGGAGAGGAGAATGCCACGTTAAAGGCTGAGCTGCTTTCACTGAAGCTAAAGTTTGGTTTAATTAGCTCTGCAGCATATGCCCAAGAGATACAGAAGCTCAGTAATTCAACAGCTGTGTATTTCCAGGATTATCAAACTTCCAAATCAAATATTAACTCATTTGTGGATGAACATGAACCATCTATGGTAGGTAGTAGTTGTATTTCTGTCATCAAACACTCTCCACAAAGCTCTTTGTCTGATGTGTCTGAAGTATCCTCAGTAGAGCATACTCAAGCAAGTCCTATACAGAATAATTGCAGAAGTTCTGAAAATAAGTTTCAAGTTATAAAGCAGGAGCCAATGGAATTGGAGAACTATGCAAGAGAGTCAAGAGATGATAGAGGCTCCTATACAGCATCCATGTTTCCAAACTACATAGTAAATACCTTTAATGGGTACTCACATTCCCCTCCTCTGCTGCAAGTTAATAGGTCCTCCAGTAATTCTCCAAGAACTTCAGAAGCTGATGATGTGATCATAGGAAAGTCATCTGATGGAGAAGATGAGCAGCAGGTCCCTAAAGGTCCAATTCATTCCCCAGTTGAACTTAAAAATGTTCACGCAACAGTTAAAGTTCCAGAGGTGAACTCTTCTGCACTGCCTCACAAGCTTCGAATTAAGGCCAAAGCCATGCAAATCAAAGTGGAAGCAATGGATAGTGACTATGATGCCACACAGAAACTATCATCACCAGTTGAGATGACATCTAAAAGACATTTTGAGCTTGAAAAGCACAATGCACAAAATTTGGTACATTCTTCTCACACTCCTTTCTCTGTTCAAGTGACTAATATTCAAGACTGGTCTCTCAAACCAGAACACTGGCACCCAAAGGAACTCAATGTAAAAATTCAGAGTGGTTGCAAAACTGGAGTTGTTGAAATTAAAGACAATGTCTACAAAGTATCTGAGTCAGAGAACTTGTATTTGAAGCAGGGCATAGCAAACTTATCTGCAGAGGTTGCTTCACTTAAAAGACTTATATCTACACAACAAATCTCTGCTTCAGACTCTGGTTAAGTTACTACTGAATAAAGGCTTATTGTTTTAAAGGATGTCATTTGCAGTAGATCAATATGTTTTGTATTATGCTGAATTTTCACTGGACTTGTGATGTCATTTCACTGTAATGTTCACATAATGTCTGATTGATGGTGTCTTTTTGTGCACAAATTATTATGAAGACTAGGTTGTGTTATGATCACTATGCCTTGTGTATAGTCAAGTAGCCTGTATGGGGGCTGTATATAGTGAACCTTTTTTTCCCCTTGTTGTTGTTGTTGTTCTATTATAAAGTGTGCAAGTTACCAGTTACAATAAAATATTGGTGACAAACACAGAACATCTACTCCAGTTCAATTGATTTCTATAAGTATGTAGATATTTTGTTAATTATTAAATAAGAAGTCTTCCAAAATGTATTTCAGTTCACTCGTATCCTTGAGGTTTACAGCCTAAATAAACCAAATTGAAATTTATGACATACATGCTTGGAAAAAATCCTCGGTCACATTTTTTTCTTACAGCCCTTTTATAGGAGAATAGAAACTGGATTGATGGATTAAAAGAGATGTAAATTTGAAGATCAAGCTTTCTTACCTTATTTATTACAGTAGATATACCAAAATAATAATATTAAGGAAATGTTTCTACTATGGTCTCAAATGAAAGAATATCTGGCTTTCAGTGCAGCTTCTTGAGACAGATACTGAGACATTTATCTTGTATAGCTTGATTCTTCATATAAAATTAAGATTGTGGATCTTTGTAATTCACAGAACCATGATGCTGGAGTAATAAGTAAATCCTGCTGCAGCCCCCCTGCCCTTAATCAGTGTTCCAGGCCTGAAATACAGGGGATCTGCATCATTTCCACTGTGTAGGCATGGGGTAGGCTATCTACAGACAGGCCACGCAAAACGACTCTGCATCTCCTGGATGTAGTAGTTCTCTCCATAGCCATATGGACATCCACAGGTTGAAAACCCTTACAAAGCACACTATGGTATCACTAGTGGGGTTGCAGGGTCCAGTTATAGGAATGAAATAAGGTTTATATGAGATCCCTGGAAGTGGTTAGCTCTAGATCTGGATGGAAAAGAGGGGTGTGTGGGGGGAAGTTCTAAAACAAATATAATTTCCATTTTTTGTCCAAAAAAAAAAAAAAATTCTGTTGAAATTTTCTGATCTGCTTTAGTGCGCTGACAACAAATGTCCCTGTACGATGCATCAAGAGTTTTAAGTGTAAAGAAGACAAAATAAGAGACTCAAACCTTCTGTGCAGTTCAGCTCCCCTTTATCTTTGCACAGGCAACAAATGTTTCACACTATGTTTGGCTGGGCTAGAGTAGTATTTTTTCTCTTTGTGAGGAGCCATTAGGGCATGAAAACTCCTCCTATCACTTTGGCTGGTCAAATTCTCACATTTTTAAACACTAAATAGTTTTTAAAATAGTATCTGCATTTGGCAGGGTTCTTTTTTTAGATAATTTATCATAATTTAAAAAAAATAATATTCATAAACACCTTACGGTTTTCTGGAGAAAATCACGATTAATTGCCATGATCCATAGTTCACCCTCCTTTAAGCCAGCATTGATTTAGAAAAACTGGAGTCAGTGATATTAATTTCATACTTCCCTAAGAGTGAGAGGCAGATTTAAATTAGATGGTGGTGGGGGGAATGTTGGGTGAAGAAGAACATCTGAAGCAACTTTCTGTAGCTGTGGAACCTGGGTGAAATCCTGTGCCTACTAAAGTCAATGGCAAAACACCCTGTCTTTTCTGTGGCTGATGAACCATGGTTGTGTTCTGTGTGTGGGCCTTGTAATAGAAGCAACTGGTGATTTTTCACATTTCTTTGCATTCACAAAGCCTGTTAATTGCTGAACTGCAACCATAGCATTCAGAGTTGCTAACGGAAGTACACCATTCTCTTAAATCACCCACTCTTATTTCATGTCCTAATAATGCAATAGACACTATAGTTGGGATTTGTGTACATTTGGCAAGTAATAGAGGGAACACACCTTAACTTTTCTAAAAATGAGTCCAGGATTACCAAATATAACTAAGGGAACTGCAAGTGAATGAACAGGATTGGAAACACTAGAAGATGATTGCTATGAGATGTTTGCTTGAAAAACATCTTCTGTAAGAAACCACAGAATTCTTTAAAATATTTTAGATATTATTTATCTCCTCGTGTAACAAAATGTGTTCAGTGGGATGATTTAAAACGATGATTATTGACATCTGTGTAAGCTGACCTACGTCTTTAGCTGTTCATCTGTTTGGTTATTTTAGCTCTTGTTACTTATGGTTGTCTGTTGTAATGGATAAATTCTGCCCTCCTTTCTAGATGGTTATATTTTTGCACTGGTTTGTATGTCTCTATTTTGTGCAACTACTGTCTGATAGCAATGGTTGTTGGGGAGTCTTACCGGAAATCAACAGTAGTACCTGGCTTAAAAACAGGATCTTGTGTTATATGTACTCTCCCATGCATCTTAGCTTTTTGCTTTCTTTAAAAGAAATATGTTGTTTGCTAAAATCACTATGAATACATGCATTATACCAGTCTAGTCTATAGGCATTATCTCATCAGCTCTGACGGTGATGACAGAAAGATTTTTTTTCATGTGAGTAATGTTGTGCATCTCACATAAAATTACATTATAAGGGGCAGGAAGGAGGTTGCACGTACAGGACCAGGTTCTCAACCACAGTTCTGTCCCTTTTGCACCAGAATCTGGCCAAAACTGGCCAGCTGAGAACTCTTAACTGATATAAAGCATAGCTGACTTCTACACCAACTTCCCTTCCCCAACACAGGAGCATGTCAGGGGAGGGAGGGGGTTAACTTGGACAGGAGAAGGGAGGAGTGGAACTCCACTCCCATACAGAAATTTGCAGCTGGCATATGGTCCCTTATATCACAGCTGGGAATATTTGAGAATCAGGGAGTCTTAACCATGTCCCTGACGGCTCTAATCCCACATCCCCTTTCCTGCACTGAGTGTTTCTTGGCACAGGAGAAAATTTGACCCACATTAAAAGAGTTGCAATAGCTGGTCCATTAATCCCCATATTGGGGATCTGAGGCTTTGTTTGTACATAAACACACTTCAACTAAAGCTGTGCAAATCCTTGTATGGATACCCTTTTTTCAATTTGAGTGGCTTATTTTGGTTTGTCTTAAGTTCCAAATCAACTTAAACTAAACTGAATAATCTTGGTTTAAATAGAAATGAGAGTGTCCCATGCAATCTTTTGCACCAGTTTAACTATATCAACTTAAAATCACGCCATTAGTTGAAACAGTGCAATCCTGTGAGTAGACAAGCCCTGAGTTTGGTTTTGAGCTTGGTTTTACACTCATGACAGAGTAAGAAGGGTGGGGAGGGAGGAGTGCTCTCTAGTGACCTCTGTGATCAACTCAAAGAGTGATATTAATGTATGCTGAAGATGGATCCCTGCTCAGATAAAGGGAAAGAAGGTCACTGTGAGGACAGGTTTTGTTAAGGAATAAATGGATTGTTCAAATGTGCATACAGTACTTTTCAAAAGCTGACTCATTTAAAAAAACAAGAACTAATATAGCTGTCCATGGCCAACTTTTATTTGTAGGCAAATAGCTCAGCCAGGTAATATTAGGAATTTGTGTAGCAATACATGGCAATTAGTTTTGTATCCTAAGGTCCTGAGAACAATGGAATTTAAGCTGTTAAGCTTTTGAGTCACAACTGAACATGACCACTGAAAAAATAGGATTTATTGATGTACAGTGGCATTTGAAACTCATAAGTGGAAATATACACAGTTGCCGTAATAATGAGTAAAACAGGTCATAAACATAAAACACACGATAAATATACAGACCTACTGAAACCTCTTATTGAGGGGTGTGGTCATGTGAAGATTTACACTGTTATTCTATCAGGATATACTGCATGACATAAAAAGAACAGATAAGGGTTTTTGTATGGCCAAAATCTTAAAATAAAATAATAAAAAAGGATAATTGAGCATTTATGTGGGGGAGGGGAGGAGAGGATGCTAAGTTCGGAAACAGAACACAGCATGTGTGCTCTTGTATACTATCAAATCCAGTGGAAAATATTTGCATCCTAGAAGCTGATGCAAATCCTTATTTTGGTTGAATTGACATAAACTGATATAGAGTAACTGAAAATACCATAGAAAATTATTTGTATGCTTTAAAATAAGAAATTTAAGAAAATTCACATTTGAAAACTAGAAACATAATAGTATTATCAACAGAAGAATCCTTATTTTACATTGGAAATGCCACACCAAAGGAGACAATCTAGTTCAGACTCTGATAGTTGTCGGTACCAGATGCTTGTGGAGCATAATTGTGGAATACCTGCAGAGGGTAAGTTTCTTCTTAAACCCATCAGTTAATGGTTGACTGATGCCCTGAAACATCTCTATCTCTCTCCTTCTAAAAAAGAAAAGGAGTACTTGTGGCACCTTAGAGACTAACCAATTTATTTGAGCATGAGCTTTCATGAGCTACAGCTCACTTCATCGGATGCATACCGTGGAAACTGCAGCAGACTTTATATATACACAGAGAATATGAAACAATACCTCCTCCCACCCCACTGTCCTGCTGGTAATAGCTTATCTAAAGTGATCATCAGGTTGGGCCATTTCCAGCACAAATCCAGGTTTTCTCACCCTCCACCCCCCCACACACAAATTCACTCTCCTGCTGGTGATAGCCCATCCAAAGTGACAACTCTTTACACAATGTGCATGTTAATCAAGTTGGGCCATTTCCTGCACAAATCCAGGTTCTCTCACCCCCTCACCCCCCTCCCAAAAAGGGGGTGAGAGAACCTGGATTTGTGCAGGAAATGGCCCAACTTGATTATCATGCACATTGTGTAAAGAGTTGTCACTTTGGATGGGCTATCACCAGCAGGAGAGTGAATTTGTGTGGGGGGGTGGAGGGTGAGAAAACCTGGATTTGTGCTGGAAATGGCCCAACCTGATGATCACTTTAGATAAGCTATTACCAGCAGGACAGTGGGGTGGGAGGAGGTATTGTTTCATATTCTCTGTGTATATATAAAGTCTGCTGCAGTTTCCACGGTATGCATCCGATGAAGTGAGCTGTGGCTCATGAAAGCTCATGCTCAAATAAATTGGTTAGTCTCTAAGGTGCCACAAGTACTCCTTTTCTTTTTGCGAATACAGACTAACACGGCTGTTACTCTGAAACATCTCCTTCTAAAGTAACTGTAGCTGTATTCATTACCCATATACTTATCTAATCCTTTTCTGAATCCTCATAAACTTTTGTCCTCAATG